AATCGAAATGCTACGGTAAAATAAATTTAGAAACTCCCGAAAAATAAACACCAAACAATACCTTATAGGTGTTAATAAATAATTTATAATTTTATTGTGATTATAGTATTTTTTTTCTTAAAATTAATACATAATACTCATGCATAACTCAATTCCAAAATTAAATTTATATAACGTTATCGATAAAATTATGATCCAACCACTGAAATTATAAATTCACTACTTCTGAAAATACTTTAAAAACCACCAAATTCAAGATCTATATCAGCTGCACTAATAATATATTCTGCTTTTACAATAAAAGCCAAATATCCCCATTCTCTAGAGTTTACACCCTTTATGACAATGCCATGTAAACTCACATAAGGTAAATCTCGTAAATAGAAAACAGGACTACCACTATCACCTTTTGTAGCAACAAAATTTGTAACAATCAAATCATCGGAAATATCATCACCATTTAAAGAATAACCCTCGAATGATTTTATGTATCCACAAGTAACAAATGTAGTCGCACCAGATTTACATAAGTGAGCACCATGGGTCGATATAATTTCAGCATCACTTATAAATAGTTGTCTATATAGATCAGAATCTGTATTTCTTATCGCTCTTGTCGGTTTGATATCTCCATTTGTTATTCTGATTAAGCCAAAATCAGTTCCATCCAAATCATGAAACACCATTGGCCCAATTGTATCTTCTTCACGAAACCTCAATCCTTTATCTCTTTCAGAAGAGTTCAACGGCTTCATATAAAAAGTATTATGACCAAAAGTTGTATTATTAGTATCAATACAATGTCCTGCGGTTACAATATAATTATTTAGTTCGTTATCTATTACCCAAAAGCCTGCTGTACATATAGTTTTGAGACGTAAATGATATATAATATCTCCATTTATTATTTGTCGATTTATATCACGCTTGGTGTCAATCGAATTACGAGGTCGTTTTCTAGAAGGTTGCTCTTGCACGTTCAAATCGTAATAACGTATAACAGGGTTATATTGTTTGATAACGTCTATAAACGGTTTATTAAATTCATCAGCTATATGAGTTAGAAATATGACAATGTTATTTTCTTCAATATCAATGTATATCAATACGCCAAGTGGATGATGCGCACGTGCTTTTGCGACTATTTGCAGTGACGCGTTTCTTAAGGATGACAGAGAATTTAGTGTTGGTTCAAATATTAATAACTCTCTATGCGGTTGTATATCAGGTGAATTTAATATAATATCCTTCTTTGTTTCATCTACTATCATGATGATTATTTTATTCCTTTTTACATTAATATAAGATCCTCCAAAACTTTCTTCATTTTGTTCTAAAAATGGCTTCAAAAGTTCATCTACCATGCATAAGTTCTTCTCAATAT